GCACCCCCTTTTGGCCTCCACCTGAATAATGAAACAGTACCATAATGTTTATTTATACCCTGCTTTTTCCCAGCACAAGGAGATTCAATGCGAAGTTGGGCAAAACACTTTGGTTGGAAGACATTGTAAAATGATTTGTTGTTGTTGTTCATTCGTTCAGTCGTTTCTGACTCTTCATGACCTCATGGACCAGCCCACACCAGAGCTCCCTGTCGGCCGTACAGGGGCGGCTCAACCCATTATGCAAAGTAAGCATTTGCAGTATAGTTGATTTTGCCCAGGGGCGCTCTTGAGGCGCTCTTGGGGGAAAATAGACCTTGACATATGCGAGTTGTAGTTACTGGGATGTATAGTTCACCTACAATCAAATAGCATTCTGAACTCCACCAATGATGGAATTGAACCAAATATGGCACACAGAACTCCCATGACGAACAGAAAATATATATCAGTGATTGGTTGGGGGGGGGGGCAAAATACTGTTTGCTTACCGTTGAACACACCAGACCTCCCTGTCGGCCGTCACCACCCCCAGCTCCTTCAAAGTCAATCCAGTCACTTCAAGGATGCCATCCATCAATCTTGCCCTTGGTCGGCCCCTCTTCCTTTTTCCTTCCATTTTCCCCAGCATCATTGTCTTCTCTAAGCTTTCCTTTCTTCTCATGATGTGGCAAAGTACTTCATCTTGGCGAGCTTGAGGGGCTTCAGCCCCCCCAAAAAAAAATTCTCATGGTGGTTCGCAAAAAGGCCTTACTGGTGCATTATTTAAACTGTTATGTTTATTCATATCATTATCTGATCACCATATTCAATATATCCCATATGCATGATGGGGGTGTTGGAGTAATGATACAAAAGGTTTGCTAGGGTAGACCCTCTTTCACTCAGACTCAGCCCCCCCCCCAAATCGAAATCCTGGCTACGGGCCTGTTTCTTCTCATGATGTGGCCAAAGTACTTCATCTTGGCCGCTACTATCATTCCCTCCAATGAGCAGTCGGACTTTATTTCCCGAAGTATGGACTGCTTGGATCTTCTTGCAGTCCAAGGCACTCTCAGAACTTTCCTCCAACACCACAGTTCAAAATGATAATACCATAGTATTAAGCCAGGAGCAGTGAAAGTGATGTCAAACTAGTATTTTTTACAGTGAAGAACAGGAGTCCCCAAACTAAAGCCCCTTATACACTGCTAGATCATCCAGGTAATCAAAGCAGAAAATGAATTTAGGGGTTTTTTAGATATTGGTAGCCAGATTATGTTCATTTTCATGGTTTCCTCCTTTCTGTTTAATTTTTCCATATGCTTGTGGATTTCAAAGGCTTGGTGGTTGTTAGTGTGGTCCAGCATTTCTGTGTTTTCAAATAATATGCTGCCCTTCCACACAGCCCTATATCTCAGAATATCAAGGCAGAAAATCTCACAATATCTGCTTTGAACTGGGTTATCTGAGTCCACACTAGATAATGTGGGATTTTCTGCTAAGGTCTTCTGTGGAGGCTCTGCTCTCGCTCCCGCCTTCCTCACAGATGCATTTGGCAGGGACAAGACATAGGGCCTTCTCAGCAGTGGCCCCTCAACTGTGGAACGCCCTTGCCTAGAAATATAAGATCAGCCCCCTCCCTCCTGACTTTTCAAAGAAAGGTGAAAACTTGGCTTTTTGAGCAGGCCTTCCCAAATATAGTATAGTTATACGATATCATGGAACCACTTGATGACACAACTGAATAATGACTTGACCAATGATAAAGTTTTAAGGCTTTGTACGGTTTTTACATTGTTATATTGTTTGCTAATGGTTTTAATAGTATCTTATAATTGTTTTATTTGTTGGAATTGTTGTGGCATCAAATTGTTGCCAATTGTGAACTGCTCTGAGTCGCCTCTGGGCTGAGAGGCGTGGTATATAAATCTATATAAATAAAAATGTAATGTTCATTTGTGGGATTAACATAACTCAAAAACCACTGGATGAATTGACGCCAAAGGAGTGACCATCATTCAAAAAATGATTTTGTCATTTGGGAGTTGTATTTGCTGGGATTTACAGTTAACCTACAACCAAAGAGCATCCTGAACTCCAACAATGATGGAACTGAACCAAACTTGGCACAGAAGACTCCCATGGCCAACAGAAAACACTAGAAGGGTTTGGTTGCCATTTCACCTTGAGTTTTGGAGTTGTAGTTCACTTACATCCAGAGAGCACTGTGGACTCAAACAATAATGGATCTGGATCAAACTGGGCTTGAATATTGCATATGCCCAAATATGCACACAGATGGAGTTTGGGGAAAAGAGACCTTGACATTTGGGAGTTCTAGTTACTGGGATTTATAGTTCACCTACAATCAAGGAGCATTCTGAACTCCACCAAGATAGAATTGGGCCAAACTTCCCACACAGAACCCCCATGACCAAAAGAAAATACTGTGTTTTCTGGTGGTCTTTGGTGACCGTTCTGACATCCCCACGTGCACCCCCCAGGGGTCCCGACCCCCAGGTTGAGAAATGTTTCACAAGCTCACCTTGTGGGCACTAGGGAGAGAGCCTTCTCCTCAGTGGCCCCCCGACTCTGGAACTCATTACCTGGAGAGATTAGGAAGCCCCTACTCTAGAAACCTTTAAAAAGAACCTCAAAACCTGGCTCTTCCTCTGTGCCTTTGGTGAGTAGGTACATAACCTCACGCTATCAGTCAGCTTCAATATTTCTACCATTGGAGTACACGTCCCTCCCTCCCCCCGTGGGAAAGTTTGGTTCCAAAACCCTGTTTTTTAATGGAGCTCCCCTTGCAAATAACCTGCTCCTCCTTTTATCTCACCGGAGTTTTTAATCATTTTTAATCACTTTATTTTGCACATGTGGCCTGCATGTAATGTCTTGATGCTTGTGGGTAAACAGTATTTCTTGCTGCTTCTTTATCAGTGTTGATGTGGAGATTGTCTGGTTTGCCTACTATGGAACATGCAAGATATCATTGCCCTTCTTTAGGGGTCCCTTTAAAATCTATGATACTATATCTGTGTGTGTTTGTGTGAATCATATCTATCTATATCTATGGCTGGATGGCTCTTGTCAGGAGGGCTTTGATTACGTTTTCTTGCCCTGGTGAAGGGAGCTGGACTGGATGGCCTTAAATATGGTGGTTCAGTGTGGGACGTTTGCCCCAATTCTGTCTTTCGTGGGGTTCAGAATGTTCTTTGATTGTAGGTGAACTATAAATCCCACAAACTACAACTCCCAAATGTCAGGGTCTATTTCCCCCAAACTCCATCTGTGTTCATATTTGGGCATATGGAATATTTGTGCCAAGTTTGGTCCAGATCCATCGTTTGAGTCCAAACTGCTCTCTGGATGTAGGTGAACTACAACTCCCAAACTCAAGGTCAATGCCCACCAAACCCTTGTAGTATTTTCTGTTGGCCGGAGGAGTTCTGGGTCCCAAGATTGGTTCAATTTCATCATTGGTGGAGTTCAGAATGCTTTTTGATTGTAGGTGTACTGTAAATCCCAGCAACTAGAACTCCCAAATGACAAATTTTTTTTGAGTTAAGGACATACATTGGGTTGTTAGGTGTGTTGTGTCCAAATTTGTGTCAGTGCATCCAGTGGTTTTTGAGCTCTGTTAATCCCACAAACGAACATTACATTTTTATTTATATAGATAGATGACAGATATAGTTACTTTACTTACTTAGGCGATCCCTCGTATTCTGAGGATGATGGTCCTCCAAGTTCGGTGTCCTGGGGGTGGGTTCGTAGGTTGCTGTGGAGCCCTATTCTTGACCTGCATCTTCTCCCACAGTGAGGGCATTGATTTCCAGGTGGGAGGTGGTCTTGGTCGGGGTTGGCTTGATGCCTTCCTCCTGGCACGTTTCTCTCTTTCACCCTCCACTCGTGCCTCCTCGAATTCTGCAGCACTGCTGGTCACAGCTGACCTCCAGCTGGAGTGCTCAAGGGCCAGAGCTTCCCAGTTCTCAGTGTCTATGCCAGAGCTCAGGCAGTGTTGTATTTCGGTGTCAATGTTGACTTTGGTGGAGAGGTGGCTGCCAAGGTAGTGGAAATGATCAACATTTTCTAATGTTACACCATTAAGCTGTATCGCTGGCATTGGAGAGGGGTTGGCTGGTGACTGCTGGAACAGCACTTTGGTTTTCTCGATGTTCAATGACAGGCCGAGCTTCTCGTATGCTTCTGCGAAGGTGTTTAGAGTGGCTTGTAGATCTTCTTCTGAATGCGCACAGACGACGTTGTCATCAGCATACTGGAGTTCTATAACATGTTGTTGTAACCTTGGTTTTGGCTTTCAGTCTGCTGAGGTTAAACAGCTTGCCATCTGTCCAATAGATGATTTCCACTCCGGTGGGAAGCTTCCCGTCAACAAGGTGAAGTATCATAGCAATGAAGATGGAGAATAAAGTTGGGGCAATAACACATCCCTGTTTGACACCTGATTCCACCTTAAATGGGTCACTTTGGGAGCCATTGTTGTCCAAAACTGTTGCCATGATGTCATCATGGAGGAGCCTCAGGATGTTCACAAATTTGTTTGGGCACCCAATTTTTTGGAGGATGGTCCACAGAGCGCTGCGATTCACTGTGTCGAATCAACCTCTGTACACGGCATTCATTGACCTTGCAAAGGCATTCGAGGACAGATATAGTATCACAGATTGGAAAGGGACCCCTAAAGAAGGACAATTCTATGTTGCATGTTCCAGAGTAGGCAAACCAGACACTCTCCACATCAACACTGACAAAGAAACAACAAGAAATACTGTTTACCCACAAGCATCAAGACATTACATATATTAGAAACCAACACTTTCTCATTACTTTATTTTCCAGATCAGCAGACTGGGCCAGGGGGCGGCTAGTGTAGTAAATAAATGAATAATGAATAGGTGAGAGGACGGTCCAGAACTCAAACTTTGCTGTAGAATGCCTACTTTCCCAGAAGATCCTCCTAAGCTGCAGCGAGGGGTGGTGGTGGTGGGCGGGACTGAGGCTGTCTCTCCAGGTCGGGCTGGGGAAGGGAAGCGTGGGCGCCTGCTTGGAGGAGGCCCACCTAGTTCTCCTCCCTGAGCCCTGCAGCGAGGAGGCGAGAGGAGCCCGCGGTCACCAAGGCAGCCGCTCAGGTGGGAGGGAAGGAGGGAGGGTGGCGGAGAGGTACCTGCAGGGCGGATCTGTCCTCCCAGTCCCCTCCCTTCCCTCCTTCTCCGCTTGCGTGTCGCCGCGCATTCCTCAGGCGCAGGGGCTGCAGGCGTTGCAACGCCTTCCTCGCTCCCAGCATGGCTCTGGAAGGGGGCAACCGAGGAGGAGGAGGAGGAGGAAGCAAGAGCAGCAGCAGCAGCAGGTAAGGAAGGGACCCGAGAGACAGCAAGGGTGGCGGGGAGCCGAGAGAACCCCTGCTTCCTCCTCTCTTCCTCCCCCACCTCCTCCTTTCTTTCCCTCTGAGCTGAGAGTCGCTTCAGGTATCTGCAATGCAGAGTTGGGAAGAAGTGAGCAGGGGAAGAAGTTGCCGGGATCCCCTTCTCCCTCTGAGCCTCCCCCCTCTTTCTAGCCAAACTCAACCGCGAAAGGGAACCCTCCCTGCCTTCAGGCCAAGGCCGGCCAAGTTATTTTAGCACCTGAAGTCTCAAGCAGGAAGGAAGATACACACCTCGCCAGGCGTGACTGTATAACCCAGGCATGGGCAAACTCCAGTTCTCCAGGTCTTTTGGACTACAACTCCCACAATTCCTAACAGCAGGCTAGTATTTAAAAAAAACTCTAAAATCAAAACAGTAAATAAAGAACAACACTCAAAAACAGGAGGAATCAGGGCCAGCTAACCTCCCAACAAAGGATTCACCCAGAAGAATCAATCAGGGCCAGCTGTCACCTTCCAACAAAGGATTCACCCAGAAGAATCAGTCAGGTCCAGCTAACACCTCCCAACAAAGGATTCACCCAAAAGAATCAGTCAGGGCTAGCTAATACCTTCCAACAGAAGTTTCACCCAGAAGAATCAGTCAGGGCCAACCAACACCTCCCAACAAAGGATTCACCCAGAAGAATCAATCAGGGCCAGCTAACACCTCCCGACAAAGGATTCACCCAGAAGAATCAATCAGGGCCAGCTAACACTTCCCGACAAAGGATTCACCCAGAAGAATTAATCAGGACCAGCTAACACTTCCCAACAATGGATTTCCCGAGGCAGGAAGCAGCCAGGCATTGAAGCTCCAAGGCCATTCAATGCTAATCAAGGTGGCCAGTTGCAACATTCACATCTGCCTCAAGCAGACAAGAGTTCTTTCTCCCACCCTGGACCTTCTACAGATATATAAACCCCACTTGACTAGTTTCCAACAGACCTCATAACCTCTGAGGATGTCTGCCATCGATGCAGGTGAAACGTCAGAAGAGAATGCTTCTGGAACATGGCCATACAGCTTGGAAAACTCACAGTAACCCAGTCAGTAGGCTGTTAGGAATTGTGGGAGTTGTAGTCCAAAACATCTGGAAGGCCGACATTTGCCCATATGTGATATAACCCCTTGCTGCCTTTGCCCCAAAGCAGCTGGCAGCTGCTTCACCCGGCCCACTGGTGGACAGTGGAGATTATAATAATAATATGTTTATGTATGCCCCACTTTTTCTCTCCACAAGGAGATGGCCAAGAGGACTTCATAGTGGCAATTGAGTCGAGTTTAAGTCATACAGACTTGAGCAGAGTTTAAGACCCCGCACTTCAATATTTCCGGATGGAGTTGAAAACATGGCTATTCAACCAGGCCTTTGACAATGGCTAAGACACTAGCTAAATTAGATTTATTTTATTTATTTCATATCAAAAGCATTGCATAAATTAGTATAAAACTGATAAAAATAGAAGGCTGAAGATCTTTTGACCAAAAACGGGCAACAGCAACGGCATTGTCTGTAGCCTCCAACAATTCCTCCTCTGTACATGAGGCAGGGCACAATGGACAAGCATACAGATGCAGAGTTAAATTACATGACCAAACAAATTGATATTGATTCCGGCACTTTGACGTTACTTTTAACTTGTTTTGTGGCTGGCAGGCTCAATGTGGTTGTACCATCCATTTTAATTAGTAGCTATTGCTCTGTTTTTATGGAGTATTTCATTTACATTGAGTTGTTTTTTTGTTTGGTTCTTTTAAATGTTGTGTCATGTTAATTGATGGCTATTGTTACAAATGTTGATGTATTTTATGTTTTTTATGACATTATTATGTGCTGTTCTGTAAGCTGCCCCAAGTCTCTTTTGGGAGATGGTGGCGAACTATAAATAAAATTATTATTGTTACTACTACTACTACTCCAATACTACTACTGTTGTTGTTGTTGTTGTTGTTGTATTTGGTACTGGGAAAAGGGAGTTATGACAAGAGAGGTAGAGAGTATTTGGGGAAGGGGGGTGTCTTGGTTCTCTTAATCGAGGCCCCTTCCACACAGCTTAATAAAATCCCACATTATCTGCTTTGGACAGGAATATATGGCAGTGTGGACTGAGATAACCCAGTTCAAAGCAGATATTACGGGATTTTCTGCCTTGATATTCTGGGTTATATGGCTGTGTGGAAGAGAAGGCCTCCACAACCTTTAGGAAGGATGCTACCTGAGTATAGATGTCCTACTTGTCTATAGTACTTCTCCCTTCTCTTTCCTGTCCAACCCCGAGAAAGGGAAACGGGCTGGATCTATACTGCCCTATATCCCAAGTTCTTATCCCAGATTTGAACTGGATTGGCACAGTGGGTTAAACCGCTGAGCTGCTGAACTTGCTAACCAAAAGGTTGCAGGTTCGAATCTGGGGAGCTGCATGAGCTCCTGCTGTTAGCTCCAGCTTCTGCCAACCTAGCAGTTCAAAAACATGCAAATGTGAGTAGATCAATATTTATTTATTTATTATTTATTTAAAACTTTTATATCCCGATCTTCTCACCTACGTAGAGGGACTCAGACCGACTTACACCAAGTATTCAATGCTACCAATACAAGTTAAAACATCAACAATACAAGATTAAAATACATATAGATAAAATACATATATACCAAATCGCCAAGGTAAAATCATGTTCAACTCAGTCCGCATATGTGGTCACTCACTTTGGTCTGTAACCAGTCTCAGCCATTATTCTGGGAATGCTTCGTTCCATAACCAGGATTTCACCAGCCTCCTGAAGGACAAGAGGGAGGGAGCAGAGCTAATCTCACTCGGGAGAGAGTTCCATAGCCGAGGGGCCACCACAGAGAAGGCCCTGTCTCTCGTCCTCACCAAAGGCGCTTCAATAGGTTCCGCTTTGGCAGGAAGGTAACGGCTGCTCCATGCGGTCATACTGGCCACATGACCTTGGAGATGTCTATGGACAACACCGGCTCTTTCACTTAGAAATGGAGATGAGCACCAACCCCCAGAGTCAGACACGACTGGACTTAATGTCAGGGGAAAACCTTTACCTTTATATCTCCACTGCCAGATAATCTGGGATAAGCAGATAATCTGGGATCATATCCTGGGATATAGGGCAGTGTAAAGGGAGTCTGGAATGGGAGCTATGGCCTGACCCTGACTGAGGAGGAAAAGTTGTGGACCACAGCTACAGCAGAACATTTTTTCAGTCATATCTATGGCTCCTTCTCTACTGCCAATATCCCAGGATCTGAACCCAGAATATCTTCTTATCCCTTCCACACAGTTTAATAAAATCCTATGTTATCTGCTTTGAACTGGAATATATGGCAGTGTGGACTCGGATAACCTAGTTCAAAGCAGATATTGTGGGATTTTCTGCCTGGATAATAGGAGTTATATGGCTGTGTGGAAGGGGCCTCATATAATCCAGTTCAAAGCAGGTAATCTGGGATCAAATCCTGGGATATCCAGTCTATGTCTAATTGCACTTCTGTGGTAAGGTTTTGAAATTTGTGAGGCTTTGACTTAACAACTGGAGGACCACACAGATTCTCCAGTCCTGCTACATGTGACAGTCAAGAACTGGGAATCTTATAGACAGAACATGCCAAATGGCAGTCTTCACCCATTGTTTCCTCTCATGTTTTTGTGAGACCCCTTGATCTTGGGGGTCTTCACCACGCACATACGCCAGTGACAGTAGATCTTATGTACCTATGGCTGGGCCATAGGTTTTTAAATCCTTGTATGTTACTGTTTATTGTTTATTGTTTATATGTGATTTATATTAACTGTATTGTATTGTTTTTGTTTATTGCTTTCTTGTTTTTATTGATGTGTTGTTGGGCTCGGTCTCATGTAAGTCGCTCCGAGTCCCTTGGGGAGATGGTGGCAGGGTATAAATAAAGTTATTATTATTATTATTATTATTATTATTATTATTATAACAGGCAGTATGTTTTTTGTGCAGTTCTCTGTTTCCGGGCTGGTTAGCATGTTTCTATGAATCATAGAATCATAGAATCAAAGAGTTGGAAGAGACCTCATGGGCCATCCAGCCCAACCCCCTGCCAAGAAGCAGGAATATTGCATTCAAATCACCCCTGACAGATGGCCATCCAGCCCCTGTTTAAAAGCTTCCAAAAAAGGAGCCTCCACCACTATGGATCTATGAAAACCTGCCATTATGGATTCCACTTAGGGTTCATGCTAAAACTGGGTTAGATTCAGCTCAAGGCTGTAGGCTTACTGTTTATTGGACATTGATCTCTCTGGCTTCTTAAACTTAGTTCCTGGTTAGTTAGGTATGCAAAGCGAGTACAAAAAACTGTAGTTTGCGGTGATCGATATTGTGACTGAAGAGAAACACCCTGAGTCCGTTATTGGGAGTGTGTAGCAGATGCATTGCTTCAGATGCTGTTTGACTACAGTTCCCACAATCCCTCATCATTGGTTATGCTGATCAGGATGAGAGGAAGCAGCAGGGCAGCAGTATCTAGGTTCACATATTCCTTAATGCATTCCAGCATGTCTGATAAATGCTTTCCCTCAAGTCCTGTCACCTAAGATCAGAGCAGGAATTGTGAGAGCTCTGTAAAGAGTACAGGCCTTGAGTTGCAGGTTGTTGAAGACTTTTGCCATCCTCAATATCAGCTGCTTTTACTTAGAGGTGGGACTCATGCAATCCCCCAGATGTTGCTGAACAGGAACCCTTGGGAGTTGCAGTCTAACAACTTCTGGAAAACCATATGATTTTGACTTCTCCTTTAACTGGATATCCCTAACTCTAAGAGGAAAGACACTTCATAACAGCAGGCAGGGGTGAGGAAAACTCTCGTATTTTTTTTTTGTCGTGTCAGGAGCAAATCGCTTCTGGTGTGAGGGAATTGGCCGTCTGCAAGGACGTTGCCCAGGGTACGCCTGGATGA